GCAGTTCAGATTCTCACACGGTTCAGTCCTTTGCACATCACTTGCATGGTGCAGAAGACCCCAAGAAAGTTCTGGGCAGGCTACCATCAGTCCCCAACACCAGCAGGCTCTGGTCACTGCCTGAAGTGAGCTGAATAATAGGGACTTATGTCAGCACCGGACCTCATCAGTGGCTAATTTCTGCACTGAACTCCATCACCTGCTGATGCTGAGAGTGTGGGCAGGCAGCCTCCAAGGCATTTGTGCTCACAGCCCTTCAAACCACTGCCTAGCTGTGAGCGTATTTTCTTATTTCTGTCCATCTGGGAAAACATAGCTCATGGGCCCTCTTATGGAGCAAAGACACAAAATACAGAAACACTCACTCATTCTGAGTGGTATACTTTGCTTTTCTCTGTCTCTCTGTCACTGACATGTCACTGACTTGGTGAGCTCTTGTCCACCTTTGTCACTGCCAAGCACTTGTCCAGCTGATCTCCACAGCGGCCGTGGTGCTGGTGTCATTGGAAATATCCCTGTGTTATATCCCACATCAGCTCCCATGCACTGGCCAGCCCTGCTTGGAACCCAGACATGCCTAACCCAGGGCACCCCTTCCTGAAAACACAGTGACTGCAGAATGGGACGGCTCTGCAATGTCTTACAGACATTGCTGTGTGTAATCCTTCATGTGCAATCCACCACCGTGTGCAATCCTTCTCATTTCCTTCTCATTTCTGTTAGTGTCCCAGCCCCTCTTGGAGCCCTATTCTCTCAGACAGAAGGCTGTGACACCATATCTGTGATTAAAGGCATTTCTCAAAGAGTTCAGTCAGGGGAAGAAAGCGCCAGCACTTACATCATCACACCAGATGCTGACAGCAATGTTGGATTATAGCTGGTGAGAATGGAAACAAAACACAACAACTGGTACAAGTGGAAGTTTCCTGCCACACTGCTTTCAATTCCCCAAACTGCTCCACTGCTGGGAAGTCTCTGTTAAGACTGAATGTTATATTCTCTGCAGCTCTTTGCTGCACGTATCTAAATCTGCCTAACCTCTCCTGCAGCAAGGAGCAGACACTTGCACCCTGAGTGGCACTTTGCTGAGGATGCTCTGCTGAGCTTGGGCAGAGCAGGCCACAGACAGTTTGCTTATGGTTGCACAGAGCCTTTTGAATCAGCTGCATCTCTAAAAGGGAAGCACACAGCCCTGCTGCTCTGTGTGCCAGCCCCTGCATTACCTGACACGGGCTGGAAGGTGCCAGCTTGCACACTGCAGCACTGTGCCAGGACACTGATAGCCCTGGAGTGGGATTTTGGGTTTGTGTTTCTTTTTTCCATGAGTTGGACTTTGGTGATCCTTGTGGGTTCCTTTCAGCTCAGGGCATTCTGTGATTTTAGCTGCAGCAGGATGGGCCATGGCACGCTTGTGCCCATTGATAGTCTCTATTTTAACAGCATACAGGTAATGTTAGGGACACGACAGAGTCGTCCAGAGTCCTGGACTCAGTCCTGGGGCTGCAGCAGCTGCCTGGGCTCCCTGCAGGACAGCCTGCTCCTCATGCCAATCTGCAGCAGCATGTCCTTTAACCAAAAGTGAAAGAGAAACTGATCCCCCACCAAGGCACATCTGCTCCAAGTCCCTATTACAATGGGGGAAAAATGACACCTTCAGCTATAAAAACCAATAAAGACTGTCTGATTTGGTTTGCCCCTGTTGCTACCCAGCAAGCTTCCCACTGGGTTAAATACTGGTGACATCTGCTAATAAAATGTCACGAGTGAGGAGAACAAAACTGATTACTGAATTATATCAAGTGCTGGGTGCAGCTGGAAGGGCAAGTGCCTCACACCTCAGCCCCAGGCCGAGGGCAGCCAGGACATGTGCACTGCCAGGGCTCCAGGAGCGTGTGCAGGGAGGCAGAGCACGACCTTCCACAGCGGCAGACAAAGGACACAGAGCCCCCCAAAGCCAGGAGATGGCTAAATTAGCTCTGCCGCCTGGGCACCCACATCATCACACAGGCCAAACTCGGGTGACATGCTTCTCCTCCTTATATCAGAGGGATGTGTGGCAGGCACAGAGCCTTGGGACTCCTCCAGGAGCACAATGCCCGCCCCCAGACCCACGCAGAAGGACCCTGTGGTAAGCAGGACAGTAGGGAGGGTGCTATGGATGCTCCTGGGGCTCCCCTCTAGCAGACAAAGATGTTCCTGACTGTGCCTCTCCAAACCTGCAGCCCTGAGCCTATTACAAAAGCAGTTTAAGCAGCCTGCTGAGGACAGCATTATTGTCCAGCCCAAGAGCTCAAACCCCATGACTCATCCTGCCAAACTGAGGGGGGTTGCTTCAGCAATCACATGCACATTTCTGAACATGAGCTGAGAAAAGCTGAGAAGGTTCTCAGCTCTCCTTCTGGAACTGCTTTTGCTTTCCAACAAAACACTTAATCCTTTTCTCTGCAGTTAAAGCAGTGTCTTCTGACAGACACCCAAGAAATGTCTCTGTGGCAGAGGAGCCATGTGGTATCAGTAGAGACAGCCTGTGTCCTGACCTGGCTGATAAAACATAAAACTTCTACCCTACCTGCTTCAATGCATACATTTAACTATGCATTTATAACCTGGATTTGTAACTGTGCTTACTCCCACCCTTCAAGACTGACAAATGTCCCTGGTGAAGCAAGTCCTGGGAGAAGCAGCACAGCAGATGTCTATGCAGTTAATTTTCTGTCACTTTGCATATATATTTCCTATTTCAGGCGGCCACAGAGTCAACACAACTGTGTCTCTTCCCCTGTTTGCTGGCAGGAGGGAAAAGTTCCACAAAAGTGTGGAGGAAGGCCTGGCTCCAAACTGACACACTGCCACAGCTTTGCACAGCGGCTGGAGCAGCGCCCTGCACCCGACCATTGGGATGCACCA